AGCAATTCTTAATTGATAAACTAGAGAAAGAAGATTAAGATTGGGTTGTGATGTAGATTTAAAATTTATAATTTTATTATCATTAATAAATGAAAAAAAATTCAACTTTCACCCCGTCCTTACAACCTGTAGTAAATGATCTTTAAAGTTGTTAGTATTGTTTAAATAGAGCTGGTTGTCTAGTTTCAATTTTAGATTAATTTGCTTTATATTTTAAGATTTTTCTTTACTCACTGCTTGTCATTTATTACTTAGTTACTTTTTTAAAATTAAAAAACCTTAAATTAGATCAAAATCACAAATTAATAATTTAAGAAATTGGTCATTTCTTTGTTCGCAAAAAGTCATTTAATTTTTAAATAATTGTTTTGAACAGGTATACATTAAATTTAGATTAAATTCTAGTAGGAGTAATTGTTTATATAAGTAGCTACTAATTATTCATCAAGATTTAATTGACATTTATTGAAATACTATTTCGAATTGAAACATAATGAGAGTTAAGGATACAATTTTGATTATGTAATTAATTTAGAAAATAAAAAGAACTTTTATGTACTAAGAATCATAAACTTTCAATTTATATGGATGTTTCAGATAAATTATATATAATCTGATTAAGTTAATAGAATTATTAAGATTTAATCAATATAAAATTTATTGATATTCATTAATAATGATAATAATCTTCATTTTAATATCTATAACTCGTCAGACTATAATTTATGAGTTTAATGCTAATTCTTAAACAAAAGATGGTAATTTCTTTATTTATATTAGGATGGGAAGGTAGTTCTAATTTCGATACCTGTGTCTTCTATTATAGTAGGATTTTTTTAGATCTAGAACCTCATTCTCATATTACAGTGAATGCCCAATTTATAAGGTATTTAATATACTTAATAACAAAAGCATTGATAGCAATCCTCCAACTTAATTCTACATAGACTCAAAAATATAAATAATGTGTAAGTGATATCATCTTAAATTACGATGTGCGGCGGTGCCTAATCTCATATTCAAACTATTTCTATTACAAATTAACATAACAGAAGAACTCTGTGGATATCTATTAATTAGCAGCCTGGAGGATTAATATCATTAAAATTAAGTATCATAAAATGTTTGTTTGAAACTGCTGGATGCATAGATAATTATCATACAATGTTGGATTTAAGATGAATTTCTAGAAAACTGTCATCCAGTTTGTGGAGATGGAATCATTCAAGGTTAAGAATAATGTGATTATCTAATATCTAATCATTCTTGTATTCAATGCAAATATTCTTGTGTTGAAAATTGTTAAATTTGTTAATTTGGAATTTGTTTATAATGCATAGATGGATTTATAATTAATTCAAATTTTAATTGCGATCCTTTTTGTGGAGATGGCAATTTGATCCCATATTCAGTTGAATAATGTGAACTGACTGTTAATGGTGTATGGGATGGTTGTTTGGATTGCAGATTTATTTCAATCGCTAATTGTAAAACTAACTATTTTTCAATTTGCTTAGAGTGAGAAGTAGGATTTTAAATGTTAGAAAATGTATGTTATCCATATTGTGGAGATAAATTCGTTCTCTAATAATATGAGGATTGAGATGATGGAAATTTTGATCCTTATGATGGTTGTTATTAATGTTAATATTAATGTTCATAAGGCTGTCTTGATTGTGAATAGGGATAAGTTTGTAAGAAATGTGATCGCTGATACATCTTAAATAATGATACATCTTAAATAATGATACTGCTAAATGCTAAGAGATCAAGCCATTAGATGATGAAGATTAGAATGAAGATAAAAATAAAGATGAAAATGAGGATATCATTTGCAGCAAAAATTCTATATTAATCGATTATGAATGTGTTCATTAATGTGGAAATGGAATACTTAATTAAAAATATGAATAATGTGACGATGGAAACTTAATTGGAGGAGATGGGTGCTCATATTTATGTTTAGAAGAAGATTACTATTAATGCTAAAATCATGAATGCAGCATGAGCATTTGTACTTATATTCAACCTCCTGATTTTATGGTATATCGTCTTTCTAGCTAAACAAATGACACTTAAGTAATTGAAATTACTTGCTGATTTAAACTTTGAAGATTTTGCAGTCGTTTTTCTTATTAATAAAACCAATTCAGTAATTAGTATCAAGCCTGTTGTAAATCTAACAACAACATTAGATTACTCAATATATTAAATTATTATTTATTTTAGAGAACTTGTAAAGGATCCAGTTCTTTAGATTAATCTAGCTTAAATAACTATTAAAGATAAATATGATTTAGAGATAAAGAGAAATGAGATGCAAATAAGTCTTGGCAACCCATTTGTGTTATCTGAGAGCACCCAAAAAAAAGTGGCATAAATTATACTTCTTAATGATGGAATGATTTATTCCATCATTAGTATTTCAGGGGTTAGCATTTCTAAGCGGAAATGCCATACTGTTTTTCAATTTATTAGATCTATTATAGTCTTTGTCCTATATTACGTATATGTAAAATTCATTTCCACCTCATTTAATATAATATCTGAATACTTTTAATAAAGTGTCTTTAAAACTAATATTGGATTATTTTAGAATAGATGAAATATTGAGTTATTTAAATGGGGGAAGCTTACCATTTCAAAGCAAAAAATCAAATTAGAATTAATCAAATCCATCAAATTAGTTCTACTTGTTGAATGCCAAGAGTTGTTACTTCTCTATCTTCGCTTCATTAATAACATATTTAATAAGTAGGTTACTCACATCTTAGAAAATTGAAACGCTACATAATATTTTATTCCAAAAGTTCTAAAATAGTCCTAGATACTTGCGTATTGACCAACTGTTTTCAAGAAAGCTTTAGAAATTTTGTAGTAAATTCAAAAATGAATACTTTTCTTTGGAATATATAAAGTTTATTTAGCAATTCTGCATTAATTATTATTTAGCACATTGTTACAATTTCCAGATTACAGCTTCACTTCCCCTCTTAAAGCATTTAATAGCATAAATGCTATTATCGGGTTAGGGGCCATCGCATATATAAGTTTATAACTACTTTCTATCACATCAGCCAATAAAAAAGATAAATAAAAATGGTTATATTTTTATCAGGATTCAAAATCTGAATTTTGGGCTGCTAATTACAGATCCTTTTAGATCTACAGAATAATTTTTACATATTTTCTATTGTACTTGCTCTTGACTATCTATAAGTATAATCAATATTACTTTCAATGTTTTCATTTTTTTATTTGAGTTATTTATTAAAGTGCAAACCTTTATAGTCTATGTATGAATTTGCAAAACTAATATCTAGAGAATTTTTTTTTATTATCATAACTGGATCATTTTTGATTTATAGCTTTGAATTTGACTAAAATTAGCTGTTACTTTATGGATGGATTCATATAGCTCTTTTTTCTGTCTTATTAATTTCAAACTTGATCATCGATTTAATTGATTGCATTAGTAAGGCTTGGAAAATGTATCAAAGAAAAAAACAATCGCAAAATAAACCCAAAGAGACAAATCTATTTTATGAATATCCACATCTAACCTTAGTTCGTCCAAGCATAGAATAACAAAAATGAAACTATTTAAGATTAAAATATCATCAACTTATTTCAAATATTATATTTTCATCATGTATAAAAAATTCATACATTCCTAAATTCTTGTTATTTTTAATTTGAGATACATTCTTCAAATAATTTATTCATATAACCAGATTCTATGTTATTTATCCCAAACATACAACTGAGTATTATTTTCTAAAATAGTTCCATTCTTTTTAAGTCGAGAATAAAAAACTCATTACCAAATGCTTCAAATAAGCGACGCTATTTATAAGGATCAAGTCTTTCATAAAGTGAATAACTTTTCAAAATTTTTCATCTGTTACCATTGAAAAATTTTCCTATATTATTTATTTATTTGAAAATTGTAGGAGAAAATTGTGAATCTAAAATGCTCAAACAATAAATTCCAGGGAACTCGTTTATCCTAAAAAAATCTAGTCATATATCTATGTTTTATTAGCTTAGGGTTTCCTGAGTTGAATGGTCTTTTCATTCAATGAAAGAAGTGTTTTATCACCAAAAAGCAAAGAAAACGAGAAGAATTGACACCTTTGACAAAATACAGTTATAGGGTGCAAAATGCGAGAATGATCAGTATAACAAGTATTCTCTCTATATTAATAGTATAATAATAAATTGAAACTATTTTAGAATTAATGTATCTGAGTTTAAACACAAGCCACTTTTGCCATAGAAAGCCATTCATGGAACGGATATCTAAATATGATCAAGAATAATTATTTATTCAAAACAGGATCTGAATTTTACTTAGTCTCCAATTCCAAATTTTAGTACCCATATGTGGATAATAAGCAACTAATACATATGATGTATTATCAGTTTCTCATAAGTATGATTTGTATCTACCACATAATTGATTTTCCCGCTTCTCTACCACTAATCTTTAATCCAATTTGCACATCATTAAAACAATTACCAAATAATCCCTTAATTTACTAATTGCGTTGACCTGAATGTGTTTTAAAATGAATTTAGATTCCCTAGATATATCAGAAGATTCTGAAGCAAGTTTAGATTATCGTTATCTTATGATTTGTAATTTCAATTAATTTAGTATGTTAGACAGATACATAGTCAATATAATTTATTAAATATTAATAACTTGCTAGAGTTTCTAAATTTAAATTGCTTGATTGAATGAATTGTTCTTTTCTCTAAATCGCAATATTTCATATTTTTCTTTGTCAACTTAATTTCAGAATCTTTATTTATCGAATATATATAATTAAATTCATATAATTTAGGAGTAAATTCAGAAATTATAATCATTAAATTGATTTAATGAAAAAATTCAATATTGCTTTTATTTTAATGTAACATTTAACCTGATTNGTATCAAAGAAAAAAACAATCGCAAAATAAACCCAAAGAGACAAATCTATTTTATGAATATCCACATCTAACCTTAGTTCGTCCAAGCATAGAATAACAAAAATGAAACTATTTAAGATTAAAATATCATCAACTTATTTCAAATATTATATTTTCATCATGTATAAAAAATTCATACATTCCTAAATTCTTGTTATTTTTAATTTGAGATACATTCTTCAAATAATTTATTCATATAACCAGATTCTATGTTATTTATCCCAAACATACAACTGAGTATTATTTTCTAAAATAGTTCCATTCTTTTTAAGTCGAGAATAAAAAACTCATTACCAAATGCTTCAAATAAGCGACGCTATTTATAAGGATCAAGTCTTTCATAAAGTGAATAACTTTTCAAAATTTTTCATCTGTTACCATTGAAAAATTTTCCTATATTATTTATTTATTTGAAAATTGTAGGAGAAAATTGTGAATCTAAAATGCTCAAACAATAAATTCCAGGGAACTCGTTTATCCTAAAAAAATCTAGTCATATATCTATGTTTTATTAGCTTAGGGTTTCCTGAGTTGAATGGTCTTTTCATTCAATGAAAGAAGTGTTTTATCACCAAAAAGCAAAGAAAACGAGAAGAATTGACACCTTTGACAAAATACAGTTATAGGGTGCAAAATGCGAGAATGATCAGTATAACAAGTATTCTCTCTATATTAATAGTATAATAATAAATTGAAACTATTTTAGAATTAATGTATCTGAGTTTAAACACAAGCCACTTTTGCCATAGAAAGCCATTCATGGAACGGATATCTAAATATGATCAAGAATAATTATTTATTCAAAACAGGATCTGAATTTTACTTAGTCTCCAATTCCAAATTTTAGTACCCATATGTGGATAATAAGCAACTAATACATATGATGTATTATCAGTTTCTCATAAGTATGATTTGTATCTACCACATAATTGATTTTCCCGCTTCTCTACCACTAATCTTTAATCCAATTTGCACATCATTAAAACAATTACCAAATAATCCCTTAATTTACTAATTGCGTTGACCTGAATGTGTTTTAAAATGAATTTAGATTCCCTAGATATATCAGAAGATTCTGAAGCAAGTTTAGATTATCGTTATCTTATGATTTGTAATTTCAATTAATTTAGTATGTTAGACAGATACATAGTCAATATAATTTATTAAATATTAATAACTTGCTAGAGTTTCTAAATTTAAATTGCTTGATTGAATGAATTGTTCTTTTCTCTAAATCGCAATATTTCATATTTTTCTTTGTCAACTTAATTTCAGAATCTTTATTTATCGAATATATATAATTAAATTCATATAATTTAGGAGTAAATTCAGAAATTATAATCATTAAATTGATTTAATGAAAAAATTCAATATTGCTTTTATTTTAATGTAACATTTAACCTGATTGATATAAAACACATTAATCTCTCATAAGACATAGGAAATATAACGATCAAGCAATCATTTTGGTGTTTCAAGTTTATTATAACAAAAGTCATCAAAAACTATACTGGAGTATACTAAAAGTGCAAATAGCATATTATTGAGGCAGTTGATCCTAAATTATCTAAAGATATCATCCTTTGTCATATAATCCAAAATGGGTTTCGTTTTTAAATTTACCTTTCTAGATTTTATTCACAATATAATAAGTAAAATCTAATATTTGCGATGGATTTACTTCAATTAGAGATATAGTATGGATGATAAACCTATGGATAATCCAGTCGTTCTCAATATATGAATATAACCTTATTAAGCAAATTAATTAGACAATAGGTTAAATTTAATTGAAAGAAGGAAATATTTAACAGATAGCCCAGTTACGAATGCAATAATTGTCTGGTTAGGAGTTTCATTTCAATATGTTGCAATATGTTTCTTGGAATGAAGTTCATACATTTGCATGAGAAATGTTAAATTTAGTCTGAATTATTTTTTTGGATTTTGAATAAAAATTAATGTTAATTTAATAGAATTAGATGATATAATTCGATTAAGTAATAAATGAAACATTATTTATTAAAGAATTATATAATATGGAGAGAATAGAAAATCAAATGGAATAAGAATAAAAGAGTAAAACAGAAAAAATCTTAGTAAATTTGTAATAAGAAGTAGAGGTAAAATAATAATTAAATAAATGTAAATAGGGATCATTCAACAGAATTCATGCATAACTTGATCAATTATTGAATGATAAATGTAATTTGATCAATATATTACCATCTTAAGTGTCATCAGATTTACCAAAACTCAATTCTAATCCTTTACTTCAATTTTAAAATGACGATTTCTCATAATTAATCATTCAAAATGTGATTCCTTTAATCAAAATCTATAGTCAGGTCCAACAAAAAAACAAAGTGCAAGTAAACTTAAACATTTACTTAGTAATTAATATAATAGAAGGCAAATTAATAAAATGAGCCTTGTCAAGAAATAGCTAAGCCTATTGAAAAATTCACTCAACCACCGTAAACACAAAATTCACCAAATTTCATATTCAGCACTGCTCGTAAATCTCCATCCATTACAATAACAGAACAAAAGAATGCTCATCAAACAGCAACTTAACAGTATGATAATAGATTCATTTTAATTGAACCTCGAATTATGAGGTCTTGTAAGATTGCAATCAAGATTACCTATTTAGCTAATTGGATTGGCATAGGGATAGCTTATAAAAATGTACTTTCCTCGAAAAAGTAAAAAAGTATTATAAAATTTAAGTATGTAATTTGATTACAGTAATTTGGGACATGGCTCTTACATGATTTCATCAAACGCATACATCTGGTCTCACTCTAAAAAAGAAGAGAATCATATCCTTAAATCATTCTTTTTTACTAAGGATGATATAATAATTGTGGATGTTAATTTGGAAATTAAGGTAAATCCGTATATCAAATTTAGACACTCAAATTTACATGCAAAAATAAACCGAATGCTACTTAAGTGTTGACCTTTGATCCAACATATAATGATGATATTCATTTTTGCATCAATATGTGTTCTTCTGGAGAGAAAGTGGAATGAAGATACCCAATCGCTTATGAAGATAGATCAATACTATTAAAATCTGATAATTTTTATATTTATCCATAAACATCAATTCTAATAAGAAATTCAATCATAATAAGAATTTACAAAAAAATATCTATTCAAATAAGTTAACAACAGCTTGAATCTACTCTTTCAGTATTATGACTATTATTTTTCTTTTCATCCATTGCTTATTTTTTATTGGGTTGAATTGCATCTTAAATTACAATTCTAAACTTTTTGGAATCTTGTTATGTTAAAATTGCATCACTATGTGATTCTAAATATCTTAAGATTCTCAAAGAATCCTATATTCATCTTTTCAAATATTCAGATTCAGAGTTTGTCTCATAGTTACTCTCAAGAATTGATAGTTTAACTATATAAGGATTTAATGCTCCTTATTCACAGTCATCATTATTATGGGGTTTTTGCTTTTTTGCAAGAGCAATAGCTGCAAATTGAATTTCTCTCTCTTATTCGGAAGGAGAAACAAAAAATTTTTATTAAATTTTGGTTAGTGCTTACATTCTAATTTGAAATTTATTTTCTTTTGCTTTTTCAACCATATAATCTAATGCTGCATTTATAGCATTGAATGTTGTTCCAATAATTGGTACAGATCCCATTATAAATGAACCAGTACTTGACATAGTTTTTAGAAAGTCAGCCACTTTCTCAGAATTGCTTTCTACCATAGCATCTCTGTTTATTGTAAATAGATTAGTTGACATTAATTACATAGCATGTAAATAATTATATAAGCGCCAAAATAAGGATTTGTAATATAAAAATGATTGAAAGTTCTCTGGTTTCTTTAATAAATTTAATTCTTCTTCTAATTAGTAAGAATCTTATTCCTCCAATTTCTAAACCTTAGATTCTAATTATAAAATCTTTTCTTTTGATTCCTTAGACTCTTTTTCTAACTTGTCATATATTGCTTTTACTTCTTATTCTATTTTAAATAAGAAATCCAATATTTATTGTTGTTAATTCTTATCAATTTATTCATTTGTTGGTTTCATACCACTAGCTGCTTATTCCTAGATCTTATTGATTTCTAATAAAAATGCTTATTCTTATTACTAGTTAATTTAGTTGTTTTTTGCAAATTGAGCAACATTATTTTTTGTTATTTAAAATTGATTGTCAATCTCAGAAATCAACCTTAATTTACTTTAAATAAATATAATATTTTTCGATGAAAGATTTCTACATTTGAATTTTGAATCAATGATTTATTCTAAGCAGCCTTAAGCAAGTGAGAAAAAATTTTTAGCTTTAATGTAATCCTTTTGGTGATAGTATAAACTACCAAGATTAGTTAGATATAATGGATTCAAAGGATTTATTTCTATGGCCTTATTATAATCTTTGATAGCTTATTCCATTTTACCATCATTCATATACAAATTACCTATTAATGTTGAATAATTTAACCTCTAGAATTATAAGTATCAGAATGAGCTTAATTTCGTTCTAATACTAGCATATAATCTTTTAGAGCCTTTTCTTTTTCCCCCAAATTTTAATATAAAATGCCTTGATGTTAAAACAATTATACCTCTATTATAAAGAGAATTAACATATTTAGGGTTGAGTTCGGTAGCCTTATTATAGTCCTTAAATGCTTCATCCAATTTATTCAATTCTTTATACAAATTACCTGAACTAGATTAATTTCTTACCTCGACTATTATAAGCTTCTTCATTTTTATTGTCAAGTTCAATCGCCTTATTAAAATCATTAAGGGCTTCTTGATTTCTCTCTTGTTTTTTTAATAAAAGCCCTATTTTAATTGAGCAAACAAGAACCTCTGTTACAATATTTAAAGGAACTTAAAGGATCTAGCAAAATAGACTAATTATAATCATTAAGTGCTTCCTAATCTAATCCTTAATCGCTAAAGAGATTGGCTAGAGTTATAACTGTAAATTAACCTCGATTATTATAGGTGCTAGGATTATTAGGATCTAATAAAAGAGATGTATTGAAATCAATCATTGCTTCTTTATCTTTTTCCAGTTCATGGTAAATACATCCTAAAAGAATATGTGTTAATTGTACCCCTTCTATTAAAGGTTGAGGCATTTTTAGGATCTAGTTCAATTATTTTGTTTAAATCATTCAACGCTTCTTAATATTTTTTTTATTTTTGATATAGCAATGCTATGGATGATAGTAATGTATACCTCTATTAAAATAAGCATTAATGAATTGAGGGTCAAGATCAATAGCTTGTTGATAGTCATTAAAAGCTTTCTAATTTTGTCCCATTTTCTCCATCAAATCAGCTAAAAATAAAAATCAATAAAACCTCTACACTTATAGAGCTTAGCATCCTTTGGATTTAATTCAATTACCTTATTAAAATTCTTTAAGGCATCATCCATCCTTCCAAGTTCATCTAGTAAAATTCCTAGAATAGATATAAATAATGCCTCTATTCAAATAGGCACTCTAATAAGAAGGGTCTAATTCTATTGCCTTGTTGTAATCTTGTATTGCTTTCTCCTTTTAGCCTACTTCATCAAGTAAAATAGCTATTATAACTTTTGGTGAAAATTACCTCTATTATAGTATGCTTCAACTGTATTAGGATGCATTTACAACAATATATTATACGAATTTAAGGCTTCTTCTTTCTTTCCAAGTTTTCTCAGAATGATTGCTTTGTAAAATTAGATTAAATACCTTGATTAAAGTAAGCATTTTAATATTTTGGATCAAGTTTTATAACCTATTAATAGCTTAATAGAGCATTCTCTTCTTGCCCCAATTCATTTAATAATAATGCTAGACACAATATAATAACCACACTACCTTTATTATAGTGAGCATCCTTATTTGAAGGGTTTAATTCAATTGCTTTAGTAAAATCCTATAATGACTAAATTTTATTTTTCTGCATCAGAAGAAATCCTCTGCGAAAATACGGGTTAGCATCATTGGGATTTAGATCTATTAATTTATTGTAACAATTAATAGCCTCATCATTTTTACCAAGATTTTTCAACAATATGGCTGGTCTATCAAATGATAATTACCTTAATTAGAATAAGCATCTTGTTCTTCTGGTTTGATTTCAATTATCTTCTAATAACAATTTATTGCTTCTTCATCTCTTCCCAAAGTATGGAAAATATTAGCTACTTTAACAACATGATTACCTAAATTATTGTAGGCATTTGCATTATTAGGATTTAAGCTAAGAACTTTTTTATAATCTTTAACTGCATCTTCTGTTTTGCCTAACATATTTAAAGTCATTGCTAATAATTGATAGAAAATTAACCTCTCTTAAAGTAGCAGTTTTCATGATTTGGATTGAGCTGAATTACTCTATCGTAATCTTTTAAACATTCTTCATTATTCCCAAAATTTGAATGAAGGATACCTATTCATAATTGACTGATTGTAAACCTCTTTGATAGTAGGCATTTACATATGTAGAATCTAATTCTATTACTTTATTTAAATCTTTAACAGCATCTTTATACTTTCCTAACTTGTTTAAAGCAATAAATTTGTTGTAATATGCATTTATGTAGTTTGGATCAATTTATATAACCTTTTAAAAATCTTTTATTGCTTCTTCATCCTTATTTAGATCCAATAATAAATTTGCTTTTATATATCTATTATACTTACCTCTATTTTGGTAAGGTTAGACTAAATTAGGATCAAGCTCTATAGCCTTAGTAAAATCGTTTAACGCCTCCTAATTTAAATTTTATTCTTTGTGACACCATCATAGTTATTGCATTTAATAAATGATACCTCTATACAAATATGCAGAGGCAAGCTTTGGCATTAGTTCCAGAGCCTTGTTGGCTTCTTAAATTGCTTGGACAAATTTATTTTCTTTATATAAATCCTTGAATTAAAAATAATTCTACATAGCTCAAATCTAGATGGTTATAAGCTTTATTTTGATTTTCCACATTTTGATTAGCATTATCCTAGTTTTAAATCATATTTTTTGAGTTTTTCAAATAATTATAACCAATAAAATATTTTTTATTTTAGATATATGGCTAACTTTGTTCAAATCCAATTATATTCTATTAATCAAGGTATAATTTAAAACACAATCTTATTATATCTTGAGTTGTAAATATTAATTTGAACTAAGAATATGTTATTATAATTTGATGGCTGTGTTTTATTTTAGTTAAACAGCAAAGCAAAGGTAATTACAAAGATCCAATAAAGTATTATCATAAAGGATTAGACAAACTTATAGGAAATCTCTTTCAAAAGAACAGAGGGATCTCATAAACATAGTAGGATTGGCAAGAGTTTGATAATGGAAATAAATGATATTATCAATGATATTTGGTACTTTAAATTGGCCAGGAAATCTGAATAAACACTATAACACTACAGAGAATATAAAATCATAAGAAATAAGTTGGATAAATATTTTCAAAAACAACATCGAAAAGCTAAAATATTCATATGCTAATAATCGATAAATAAATTAAGTACAAAGAGGAAATTGCTGAATTTCTTACTCTTTGTTAATGAAGGATGATAAAGGGTTAAGGCCAAACATATTATCAAATATTTTCAAGATTTACTTGAAAAGCCAATCAAAGTAGATTTGCCTTAAGAACTTTAAAATAGATTAGATGAATAATTTTTTAAAGGATATATAATTGCGAATAATGAATCAAAATATACACAATTGTTATAAATATTTTTAACAAATAGCATTTTGTTCTAACTTGTTATTTGAATACTATAGAAGATATATCTATAAATAATATCTATAGGCGCGAAAATGATTATACAATGAAATTGAGATTAGAAATAAACTAATGTTTGACCATTTAATTAGATTATTTGTTCTCATTATCATAATATAATTTATTTTGTTTCAGTCCTTTTCATAAGATTTCATTTATAATTATTATGGTAGAAACGAAGAATAATCAAAATAAGAATAAATTTTCTAAATAATATAATATATAATGAATATAATGCTAATTTGGAATGTGATAAATATTCATCACCATTTGATTTCGTGTATTTGATATTTCTTGAGATCTTCAACATATGCTATCAAGTATTTGCCATCATTAGATAATGTTGCAAAACACAAGTTTGTCTCATATTTTTATTTTGTAACAATTGTTACATCAGCATCAGTGATCTTGATAATATAAATATGTCGCTTGAATCTCAACAGATATACTTTCTTTTATTAATTATAGCTGATGGGATTCAGATGATAATCAACATATTCTTCATCAATTTCCAATTAGAAGGTTTTCTTATTATTATTTTCAAACTTGCCATCTCTTTATGATTTATAGAAAAACATCTAATCGTTAGCTTTTTAATCGCAGCCCATCCAAACAAACTAGTCATCAGAAATAAAAGCAACTTTTGTTCCATAAGTTTATTAATTAATTTCTTGAATAAATTTCCATTTTTGAGTTTAGTCATCCTTTGTCCAAATTAGAATTTTATTGTCCGCCCCACAAGTTACCATTCTTGTTTCTTTTGAATTTAAGGTTACATCAAATATTGTATTTTAATGATTGTTCTCCAATGAATAATTATAGGTTATTTAATTTTTATTGAAATCCACACTCCAAAAATCAATTTCGCAATTAGCACCAGCTAAAATCAATTCTGTTTCCTCTTTATTTAAAACTATGCAATTAGTCCAATATGATGGTTTTTTTAAGGATTCCCATTCCTTTTCATTCTTTTACTTCCAAATTATTAGGGATCCGCATTCTGCTGCAGATATAAAACTGTTCTTAACTTTGTTACTAGTCACAATTCGTGTTACAGATAATGCATGGCCATTAAGTTTTGTATGCTCTTACATTTTTCCCTAATTGAAGATCCAAACTTTAATTTGTTTTCCACATCCAGTAAAAAGCAATTCTTAAGAAAAGGTTAAAGCATAGCAAGGATCTCTTTGTTTTTAAGTGTCACTCAACTCTAAATTTAAAGGTTTATTTATTTCCTCATAATTCCTTCTATAAAATTCTTGAGTTTTCTTTAAGACATTTTCTGACATTTTCTCTAGGTTTGAAGGAAATGTTTCCAATTTTCTTTTCAAATTTCCAAATGAATTGATTATTTGTTATCTGATTTTCTTTACAATATCGTTTTCCTCTGTTGATTAATCTTTTTTTTTAATATAGATTTCCAGTTCTTCAAAGAAACTGTACTCTAAGTTTTATTTTTTTTAATCTTTTAAAGAAGCTGTTAATTTCTTCACATTGTTTTTAATTGATTCAAAATAATCATTTATTTTTTCCATAACACTATCAACATTCTTTTCTAAGTTTTCTGCCTATTCTAAACTTTCAACCAACAATTTATTTCTGTTTTCACATCTCTTTATCTTTTCGTTTTGCAAAGCTTCAACTACTGCTTAATAATCCTCAACATTAGCATTTTGTTATTCTAACTCACACATATTGCAGGCTAATCTCGAATTAAGGTTTGTATTTTGATCCATTATAACCTTTTCTGGTTTATTTTTATGCGCTTAGCAAACCAAATCAAGAGGTGCATCAATCATTTTAGGTAGAAATTCGGTGTTCATTAATTTTAATATTGAATTATTTAATTCTATAAATCATTTTTATATCACGCATAATTCAAATAAATTATATTTATCAAGACTTGATGTTATTATTTATTAACATAATAAAAATATACTTTGTATTTAGAAATTAGATCTATGTCTGTTTAATAATTGTTAAAAAAATACATTTTAATGATTAATATATTATTTATAACATAATACAAATCAATCAAACTTATACGACACGTGTATGTTTTTTAACCGTTCCAAAATATCTATCCCCAAAATCGCCTATTCCAGGAGCCAGATAATTAATCTCTTTTATCAGTATTGGATCAACTTGAGCTGTTATGATTTTAATGTTTGGATACTCTTTAAAGACTTTATTCAACCCTTGTTCACAACTAACCAAAGTTAAAAATATAATATTTTCTTCCTTTACACCATAATTTTATAATATCTTTAATGCCATACTTGCACTTCCTCCCGTTCCAAGCATTGGGTCAACCATAATAATTTATTACTCCTGAATATTCTCTGGAAGTTTCTCAAAGAAATATTTTGGCATCGATGTCTCTTCGTTTCTTTGAATCAATATTTATCCAATTGACGCCCCTTAAATCACTCTTAAACCTTCATTTAAGAATGCATTTCCTGATCTTAGAATACTTACAATACAGATTCTAAAATAAATAAAATATCTACTCTTCATCAGAGAATTTCACTTCATTTGCATCATAAAAGCCCAAAGGTGATTGTTTTATAGAATTTTTTCTTTACAATTGAGCCAAAGCTTATTCCATCAAGATTCTAATCAATCTATCTGCATTCTTTCTGAATGTCTAAAATATCTTTTTTTTAAATTACCACAATATCAGAATTAGATTCTCTCATCAAAGATAGAATATGTTCAGTCTAATTTCTGTTGAGAATTGATAAGTTTTGATGTTTTTTTAATAAGTTATGTAATTCATCTTCACTTAGAAAATTGTAATGCTGCAACCTATCATGAGAATGGACATTTTGAGAACAAACTACAAAGACTCCCTTAGCTAATCCTAAGCAACAGGCTAACTTTGTGAGGTTTTTAAACATTTTTAATATACTTTATTATTCATAATTTAGAACCAAACCATAAGAATTTGAATAATTAATTTTTTATTAAATCAAATATCTTCTTATATTATATCAGATCATAATTTAATAATATTGTTATTTATAATATATTGATAAATATTTAATATCCATATTATTAGAGTATATGATTTGGCTTTTATCTTCATCGAAATAAACTCTTTTGATAATGTAGATAAATGAGAATTTCGATATCTTATGTTATTTTAGTATTAGATAATTCTACGATTTCGAAGAATTGCAGATTTTTGGTTCACAATTAATTGAAACTAAAATGCAATTAAATTATGGGTTAATTGATAATTCTATTTAATAGGTACTACAAATAAAAAAGTTACTAAATATTTCTATATTTAGAGGGATTTATTTGTAGTGAGAGCATTAATATTCAATAGAAGCTCAACCTATTGAGAGAATTTTGTGAATTACATTTGTAGTAACCTCAAGTAGATGATATTATAATCAGGATCTATTTTTGATTAAGTTCTAATCTCATATCATTCATATAAAATTGGTTTTTCAATTTTAAACAATTAGTCTTTTTCATTAGCCTGCAATTTAAGGCTTTATTATGATCATTCTGATATTTAGTTGTTAGAGAATTAAAGAAGAATAAATATATATAAAATAAGAATATTTATTTACATAAATTATTGTTTTGATTGATTTATGCTAAATAAAAATAATTCTTAATCGAATTATTAAATCAAATATAATTTAAATTGTTTCTTATAATTGTAAATATTTAATAAAATAGACATTTTCAAAACCTGAATAAAATAATATTGTAGAAATTTAGTTATTATTATACTAAAAGGCTTTTTAATTATTTTCAATCAAAATTATCTGAATGGTTTAATAAATAAAATATGTATGTATTGTTGTTTAAATATCATTATTTAATATAAGAATGCTTTTAAATGTAATAATCAATTTACTTTTAGTTATGGAATTTTAATATTCATTTGGCTTCCTACTCTGAACTCTTCATTTATTGATAACGGACTCATTTATTTCATGCATAAAAACCCATCATTTTTATCAAATACTAATTCCTCATCTAATTCTGAAACAATGTTTTTATTTCGAGAATTTAAAATATCATATCGTTTTATTGATCCTTGCAAATCCTCCATTTATTTTGTTATTTTTATAGGATTAATCAATATTTCGGTAATATCAAGAAATTTATCTATCAACATTGACTAACTTAAATATAATTATCTGGAAACGGATGAAGTAATTAATTTATAAAGATTAAGTTCATCCTAACCTTTATTTTTATCATTGTTTATAAAATTGCGTTGTTATTTTGATAAACAATTTGCTAAATAAAGTCTATAGCTAATGCGTTAGAAAGGAAATAGGACCACATCAAAAATGACTCTTAAGATTGTAAATAGTCCTCCAATTTTGGCGGCGACATCCATCAACGTCTAGTAGGTTATAAAATGTATTTTTTTCTTTGCATCTAAATTTAGTTCAAACAACGCTATATTATTATTGTCTTCATAATTTAATGTACTGTCAATAGCGGTATTTTCATATTCAATACCTTCAATCTGTTTTAGCTAGGGAAAAAAGTAAAACGGATTATATTCTATAAAGCTTTGAGAATATTTGAAATATATTCGAATATACTTTCCAACTTTATTAAAAATCGGAGTCGAATCTATGCTTTATGCTTTTTCATATGGGGAGACCTCTTATTCTTTATTAAAGTAATGGAAAGAGTATGAGTAAAAAAGATTCGAATTTGTGATATATCTATCGATCTCTTCAGTTGAGGCACAATCTTATAGTTTTAGAAATAAATACTTGAACTAAGAGTGCTATTTTAACATCTTTATACTAGCCCTCCAAATTGAGTAAAATTTTCTAATTTTGGTGATCCCTAGATTCTTATTTCAGGATTATTATTAAGATAATTCTCATCTATACAATATGTAATATTTAAATATTTCTGTGGTACGTCCAGCTATTAATATGATGTTTAGATTACTAAAGAAATATTCGAAGTGCGATTTCCACATATAATGCTTGGAATATTTACACAATTATTTTCACCGTATTATTTTTGACAAAAGTAAAAAGTTATTGAAAATATTCTATTGTTATCGTTGGGAATAGGCTAACCCATAGTGTCTACAAGTCCAGCAGCAAAGAGAAGTTCAGTAGAATGAAATGTATAACCCTATAAAATGGTCGTATTATTGTTTACATCTTCTGGATTAATTACTGCATCTTTTGAATTAAGTACAGCATTTTTCCCTTTGTTCATCTCTAGAATAAAAGAGTTACTAGAATATGCTAAAATAGTAAATAAAATTAGAGTCATTATTGCTCCAATTTTCGTTCTGAATGCTGATTGACTATCAGCTTATAATCTGATTTCTTATCCAAAAATGTCTAGTTTTCTCAGCTATTTAGAAATTAGTTCCATAATGTTAAGAGTAGTTTCTAATATTAATTATTAAAAATCATCACTATTATATTATGTCATTATATTCACAATCGGATTTGGATATATAATAATTTAAAAAAGGCTTTTTAATATACATTAATATATTGTATAAAATAATTACTTAGGAAGGTTTTCATTTTAATTAAGGTATCAACTTAAGTTTAATAAATTTAGACTTCTAATTTAGTATAGGTAGACTCACTAGGGTTCTCCTCTAAATATTCTAATTAATAGAGTTGATTTATTAGATTTTTTAAAATCGAGGGCAATTTTGTTTCATCCTAAATGCCAATAATTGAATTAACACTATTAACATATTGTTATAGTTAGCATCATAATGACTATATTCGAAAATCATAAAAGTTCTCCTAGCATTGCATTTAACTTACATATCTAGTTTTGAATCCACCCTAATGTAATATTTTATATAAATTTTTCTAATGATATTCACAAGTTTTAATTTTTGTTCATTTACTTTTCTAATATAAATTTTCAAATAAAAGGATTTAAATTTTAGCATTTTAATAGTTTTCAATTTGAATATATTTTGGTCTTTAATTTTTTTCAATTAAAAATAAAAAGTTATAGTTCTAAGAACCTTAAAGGGCTAATTGAACCAAATTAGATGAAGCTCACGAATTGTTCTTGAAGATTATCTAAATTACAAAAGTGGTTAAAATTTAAATTAAAAAAAGCACACATCTCATATTTATTTCCATTTTTGTAATCATAATTGAGATTTAATATTTTTGAATTTAATGAAGCCTAAATGATGGCATATTTAGTGATAGAAAAGACTGTATATAGAGATTTAGTATAAAAAATTCAATAAATTATTAAATTTGGGCGAATTATCAAAACTTGAATTACTTGCTAAATCATCAGCAGAATGTAAATACAAATTTAATTATTCTTTAGAACACAATCAATATAAATTGCGTAAATAATTATAAGAAGATATAAACTGTAGAAGTAACATAAAAAATATTTATAATATACTTTAAAATTAAAAAGTTTTCTTTCAACAATAAAAAATCTTTAAAAATAAGGATTTGTAAAGCATGATTTTGATAAGATATTTCAAGAATTTACAATAATTTTACAATAATTCAAGAATTTTATGATCAATTGTATTATATTCTCAAAAATTACTTTGTATAAAGTTTCGAAATTCTATTTAATCGATAATTTAATGGTCCTAATATCGAGAAATATAATTTTCCTTATCCAAGAGATCAAATTTCATAAAGTATCGATCCATATCAACCAACGATTGTGTTCACCAGTAAAGCTGCTCAAATATCTCAAAAAAAAACCACATATAGAAATATCTATAAAATTAATTGAAGGCATGAAAGTGAAAAACTAAGTATTTTACAGTTAGCCATAGAATG